ACCTAAATTCTCACAGGAGAAAAACCTAATGCTCTCAAAGTCAAACAGCAGCTGCAAACTGTGCACTACTACTGCATTACACCTGCTTGCAAATGGGCAAAAAACAAATGGGTAAGACCCTTACAGAAGCATTTATTGGAATAACACCAGGGCTAGATGAACCATATAAATGTCAAAGGATTCAGAAATATGCTACAATACAGCAGACAAAGTGTCTTGACTAGTGAGTTGGACAGATGATGCATTAAGGAGGCACTTGCTGTAGTAATTTTTATTGGCAATGCTATAGACACTACCTGTATCTGAAAACTGGAGCTTAAAAACTATATAAATTAACTGGGAAAAGACAAGAAAAGGTAAAAAACAAACAACAACAAACCAAACCAACCAACAAAAAAAAAACCCAACCACCCTACCAAAACAACACACACTAAACCACTCAACATTTAAAAACGATGACTCAAGCTTGAAGGAAAGCTGAAGGAACTGAAGGATGTTTGGTGTCTGTCTTCCATACACGTAAAGGAGCTATCTATTAAAAAGAAAAATAGCATAATTCAGAGCAGTAGAATTTTAATAAAGAAAATGTTTTTCTGAGGAATTAAGGAATTAAGCACTGACAGAGGCTAATTGGCAGAAGTGCTGAATTGGCATCACTGAATGTTTCCAAAGAAGTGTCTGTTAGGATAGTCTGGATAAGACTGAGAGCAGGAGGACACGTCTTATCACTTGATATTCCAGACTTGTATTTCTATACTTAATTGTACTTGTAAGCTCTATCAAGACTATTTGAAGACATAATTAACCATTAATTTAATTATAATTATAAAAAAAGATATCACATTAGGAACATTGGCTCTCCATGAGTCATTTCCTGCCATGCACTTGTCAACTTCAGCATGTTGCATCTTGGTCTGTAAATCTGCCAAGACTGGAAAACTCCAAACATAGTTCTTGGATCTTTTCCTTGCTGAAGTTGCTCAGTTAAAACTATTTAAAAGGTGGATTATGAATCATTCAACCTTTCTCTAAGCTTATTCATAAGACCAAAATAATATTTGCTTACTTCCATTAGATTTATTATAAAAAATATTTTCAAAAGCTAAAATGTCATAAAAGCCAAACTACTATAATTTTATGTACATATAGAGAGTTGCATCTGCCACCTGGCTTCAGCCTGATCTCATTTTACTATCTGCAAACCTCAGTGGAGAAGATATGGCTTAACACCATCCTTATGTGCTCTGTTGGAATCAATTAAAATACCACCTGGTATTTGGACACCCAGTTGTGCTTGCAAATATCTACCAGCCCAAAATTGCAAATACAATTGGTTTACTCTATAGATTATGAGTGTGGTCGGTCACTGAAAATTTGAAAAACTTATACTCTCATCGTCACCTGTTATCTGAACCCCCTGTAGGTCAGCCTGCTGGACAAAAGTTCATCTATTATGGGGATTATTTTACTTTTCATCTTCTACAAAATGCTCAATTCTGCTCAGCAAAGCACCAGTTTAACCACTAACTTATGACTGGACATCCATGTGGTTCTGCTCTCTGCAAGTAATACATGCTAAAAATTATCTGTGTCCTGCAACTTCATGTTCTAACCTACTAATATATATTTCATGACAAAATTTTCTCACCAGATACCAATAGGCTCCATAAAACAAGAGAAAAGCCAACTCAGTGGGAAGAAGCATGCTTTTTGCAGTGATACAACGATTAATCTCACTGTTCCTACAAAGAACATGGTCTGTCATTCAGCTCCACTTTGTGTGTCAGTAGGGAGCTCTAACAGGGTTATGCCAGCAAGTTAGAGCCCTCAGATCTTCCTGACTTGGAAACAAGGGAGTGGGAAGCATCTTGTTGGAAAATCAGAAAAGTCCTTTATTTCCCTAGTATTGACCTGAAGAAATTTTTACTAAAAGATGCAATAATCCCAGTGGAAACCCCTAAATGTTTAATTTCTGATGTAGAGAGAAGTTAAAAGTGTTATCTTTCTTAAAACAGCATTCTTAAGTGCTGGTATCCATGGAAAGGACAGGAGGCAATGAGCACAAATTGAGCTATGAGAAATTCCGCATAAACGTAGGAAAACACATCTTTACCATAAGGGTAGGACACTGGAATGGTTGCACAGAGAAAGTATGGATTCTTCATCTTTGGAAATGTTGAAAACCTGTCCAGACATAGTCCTTAGCAACCTGCTCTAGGTGTTCCTGCTCTGAGTAAGGGGTTGGACCAGAGGATCTCTGGAGGTGCCCTCCAGCATCCATAACTCTGTTACCCCAGTGCAGTGATCCAACATGCAGGTTCACGAGGCTGAACCACAGTAATAATGGTATTTTTTGCACAACACAAGGTGTTTATTGCTCAGGTAAAGAATTACCTCCTTTGCTTAGGAACTCTGCTCCTATGGCACAAATGAGTACATTTGTACAAACTTGTAGTCAGTCTCAGGTCATCAGTAAACCAGAAGGGTAATAATTTTCTTCTGAAAAGAAAATAGGAGGAGGATTGTTTAAATAACAACTCACGCTTGAGGAAAACAAAAAGTCAAAAATTTTAAACAAATCTAAACCTTCAGAACAAACATGCTGCTCAACAGGGAAACAGAGTGTACAAGTGAGAAGGCTGGTCCTCAGAGCTCTGATTAGGCCAGGCTGTTCTGTGCACACAGGAGCACAGCCTGTATGTCCATCATATTCCTGCTCAAATTGCAAAGGCTTTTGTTTGAAGAAATTACAGTGTTATTGAAAGGGCATTAATGTGGCTGTGACAAGCCTGGACATGCTGGATTCACACAAACATCTCCATGTTGGGACGTTCTATGTTCTGCTGTTAAAGGTACAGGGAATTCCTCTCCCAGTTTATGGCACATAAGTAGTCTGCTGACATGACATAGTAACCAAGCACTGATAAACACTGAAAGATGAGTTAATATGATTTAAACATTTTCTTGGTGTCTAGCAACCCAGAATGGACAACTGAAAAGATTATCCAGTCTGACTGAAACTACTATCTGAATGTAACAGCACTTACAATATCCTGATGAAGTTAAATTTCTATTCTAGCCAGCTGCACTCTAAGTTCAGAAACCATTTAATTTTCCCACTTTCTCTGGTTTTTAGTCAGTAGTGACCTCTGACACTAACGTTTCCAGACACTTGCAGAGATTTATTAGTGATACAAAGGAAGGAAAAAAATAGTGCCAGAATTGTCATCACCACTATTGTTCCACAGCAAAGGGTCCTGCTGCCCCTGTTGGTGCATGCAGAAAAGAGCAAACCCAGAAGATGAACCCAATTTCAGAGCAACACTGGCCCCAGGTGCCCTAGAGACCATACAAGAAGGGAACTATCTGTGAGTAATATTTATTGACACAACTGAGATATTGGTTCAACGTGCAGGAAGTGACTGCCCTCAGGTATTTCACTACTTCTGTTATATATTACTCTGTGACCTTCCATTTTATAGGCTGACTTTTGCTATCTAGGTAATTAAAAGGAGCAAAGCTGGATCTGCACTCCAGGGAGTTACTGCTTTATTACCTTCATACCAGAAAGAAAGAAAAAGCAAAAAGCCAAAAATTATATGTCATCAGTTTCTCAAGGAGTAAAACATTGTCACACACCCAACAGTATCCAATGCCCTGCCCATCAGGATCACAGCATGGATCACCTGAGAGCCTCACGTCTCATCTTCCGGCCAGGTAAGGATGCCTTGGGATTCAAGGACGTCTCAAAGGCACCAGGTGCTTATGTTTGGCAAGTGAAGAGAGCACAAAGTGTGCCTTTCTCTCTGGAATAGCTGATAAGCTCCTTTATGGGAGAATCAGGTACTCTGCACACAAAGGCAAGGAAAAGGACTTCCTCAGACCTTCTCTACGACAGTTCTTTTCAGAATGCCCCTCTTCTGGCTTTTCAGAAATTCAAATTAACCCAAACAACTCTGCTTGAACGGGAGCATCTGCACCCATTTCTTATTTTATCCATAGAAAAAGAAGACATTATTATTTTGAAACAAGAGGAACATGAAAGAATAAGGAATATAGATGATTTTAAAGCCAAAATAACACTCAGGTTGCTTACACCATATAGATGTGAACAAAACACACTCAGTTGCTGCTCTTTTTAACAGACACATGCAGGACTACATGCAGAGACACATGAACTAGAACTAACACCACAGCTCTTACTTTGACCATATAACTAACATATTTTTAGCAACGACCATGATCTAGTCACAGAAATAAACAGGAGAGGTGCTGCTTCAGAGAGTCATGCAGCGTAAGGACTGTGAAGGTAGCAAAAAGGCCAAGGGCCCTCACAGATGGCTCTCACAGCCCACTTCCACAGAAATCAGGACCAAAAGTTTATAGTGTGTTCTTGCTTCAATAAACTAAAATAACCAAATAATGACATTGTCATGAGATTCTCACCATGTGTGGTAACAAAATCTCTTCTCCTGCTTCTACAACCCCCATGGAACAGAGGAACAGATTCTGATAATATTATTTATGTCAAAAAGTGAGAAGCTTCATGAGACTTCCCTTGAAATAACAGAGTATTGTACTCATGGTGTATCATCCTATTCAAGGGAAAAAAGATCTTAAACATTTATTTCTTATGTAGGTAAAAAGAAGGAACTTTTTTGAGTTAAATGCAAGTGCTTTTATGAAGGGAAACAGTGTTTGTTCAATAACACAGATGTTTACAGTTTTGAAATGTACATATTACTTTATAAGGTTAGAGAAAATGTGAAAGCCCCTTCAGTAATTTATACCTAACTGGAAATTATTGAAAAATACATATTGACATTGTCACTGAAATAGATTAATCCAACAAATCACAGAAATACATTAATAAAAATATTGAAAGAAACAAAAGAAAGACTTCAGGCATGATCTTTATTTAAACTGTATAATCAGTTTTCTTCATAGCATTAGTAACTATCACTTTTGAGCCCTTAGCTACTAGATAGAGAGAATCTTACCTTTACAAAAATGTGAATCTCAAAATCTTCCTGATAGTTGTTAGTTTCTCCAGAGATACAGTTAAGGGGAAACTTGAGGGAAGTTGAAGAGTTGGAAAAAGTGCTCTGCCTCTGACGCAACTGGAAATCTGGAGGAGAATGCAGGTTGCTCTCAAACATCGTGTTCTCTACATGGTTCTCTTCCAGAGCTGGGCTCATCAGATCCATCTGCTGGTATGGGTGGTCTTCTCCAGCGCCATGGGGAGATGAAGAATCATCTTCTTCATCAGCTCCATGCTGAGATGAAGAACCATCTTTTCCAGCACCATGGTGAGATGAAGAATCATCTTCTCCATCAGCTGCATGCTGAGATGAAGAATCATTTTCTCCAGCACCACGGTGAAGTGAAGAATCATCTTCTCCATCATCTCCACGCTGAGAGGCCACAGAATTACTATGGCTATCTTCTGAGTTTTCTTGACTACCATCCATGTTCTCTGGGAGGTTAGTGACATAAGGAGGAGATGCTGAATCTTTACGGACATGATAATAAAGATTATCTCCTTTGTCTTCCTCAGAGTCTGAGACCTCGCAGACATTGGTGTCATTAACATTTTCACTGATGTTGGTAAAGACTGGATCTTCCATGACTGCTGGCTGGTGAGATTTGCCTGCCTGCTAGTACCTTAAAAGACTACAATTAAAGTGAGATGTTGACAGACAAGCGCTCCTCAGGAGGAAGCAGAGTCTGTGGTGTGCTTTCTAAATGCTCTGCTACACATGGCAGGGCTCCAACAATCATTTACTGAGAGCTTCGAATCAAGTTAAAGATAGGGCTGTCTCACTTTTAACCCCTTTGTTGATCTGACTGCTGGGAATGGTATCTCAGGAGCTGTAATCAGTTGTTCTTCACAACCCTTTGCAACATTTCAGTGGTTATTTACAATATCATCAACAAATGATACTCATTTATAAAAAAACACAAATAAAAAAATATAAAGGGGTAAATTTTAACTCTTTCCAGTTTTGCCACTGGCTCACTTGGGGGATCACACACTTCACATTTAGCAATTTCATCCTCTCATCCATAAACCAGGGCCAAAACTCTAAAAAAGTCTTGTGAGCTGCCCTAGAATGTAGGAAAAGAAAGCACTGAATAAGTATTAGTTATTATTAAATACACTTAAAGTATTGATTAATTATAATCACATTTACATTATGTATCTCCATGTCATAAGACATAAACTTTAATAATCTAATTTGTCTCCTTGTCTATGCAGTTCCTTTTCTCTAAAGAATGGAGAGACACACTAAACTGCACAGAATCTGAAGTGGATGAATACTGCCAGAATCAGCATAAAATGAATTGCCCTCCTAGGAGAGATACACACTGCAAAGAAACTGAATTCAATGGAGCTGAAATTCCCCAGAGATCCAAACCTGAATTTATCAAATTATTATAAAGTTATCCATTTATTAAAGTCATGAGAACTTCAGACTTTACTAACTGAAAGGCTTTTTATTTCAATGTTTACTACATCTGGATTATGTAGATTACGGCAAGAATTCTTATAATCTAATTATATTTAACCTTTTGGGTTGGAGCCAAAAGGAAAAATAAAGGTGTTTTCCTCCTGACCCATCCTTGTAACTTCCTGAGAGGTAACTGCCACAGCCAGGTTGGATATCTTAAAGAAACACAGAGCAGACATGAGAGAGAAGGATGGTAATTCCATCCACCCCAAACAGAGCAACCAAGGGAACAGGTGCTGTTTCACACAGTAGAGTAGCAGGTGCTGCCTGCCTGGGATTTATGGTTGTTAACACATTTATACAGAATAGTTTAGATTACTACTAAAATTAAATATCAAAAGCAAACTAATATTTCATCTTATTAAACTTGGATCCACCTTCTAAGGTTCCTAGATAACCTGAAAAGTGCCAGGATCATAGTAACAACCAAATTTAATCTCAATGATTGTACAGCACAAGATGCTGTACAAGGGAAGTATCAGAGAACAGTGAGATCTCTTAGCTTATGAGTACATTTCTGGCCTGATGTAACTCAAGAATTTCAAGGACATCTTGAAGGTCTAATTTCAATTATTACTACCCACAAATTCCTGCCTGGCACAAGTGGTCCATCAGCAAACAGGACAAAGCACATCTACTTTTTGCATTTTCTGTATGCAACTCAGCCACAATTGTTCATGTGGAAATCCTAAACCAGAGATTCTGAAATGTGATGTGGAATCTGTATTGTAAAATTCTTGCATTCAAGACCAGCTAATAGGCTAAAGATAAGACTGATTGAAAATCATAAGCCTAAATCACTTAAATTCAGGAAAACCAATAAGTTGGGAAAACCAATGAGCCAACTAGAAACTTTGATAACTTCCCTTTTTTTAATGAATATTTTTTACATTTTTAAGAAAACACCTGGATTTCTTAATTTTTTGTAGAAAGACAAACATATTTCTACCTGAGACTGTTCAACTTGCTCTGAGCATGACCTTGATCAGCAACTCCCACTGATCTTCAACCTCTTTTTACTTGCAGGATTAAATATGCTGGGATCATAAAAATTCTCTTCTTAGTAACTGCTCATAAAAAGCTTGAGGAAGAAAAGAGAACCAAGCAAAGGCAAAGTTGTATTAAATTAAACTACTGAGGTTTTTTCCCCTCCTCGAAGATGACATTTGCAGGATGCAGCAGCACCTGCTGGAGGGTTTAAAATATCACAAGCAAACCAAGGAATAAGAGAGTAAAAGGAGTATTATTTAAAAATAAATAAATACAGTTGATGTGGATTTCTTTATCTTGAGTTACCCAAGTCCTTCTTTCCTCTGTCCCACTCCAAGAGCAAAAAAAAATATCAGGCAGCTCCAAGATCTCGACATCACTCTTGTGACAGAGTGATAAAGCCCCAGGGGAAACCTGACCACACTTAAGAATTTACCCAGATGAAAATGAGGTGCATTTCACATCACATTACATGAACCCTCCGCTGGTTTACAGCCCTCACTTTTCATTTTCAGGGAAGACGGAACAGTTTTTCTGTTACAATTCAAAAGTTATGGGATAACAAACAAGATCCAAGCTGAGGCTCCCACACCATCACCTGGGACAGTGGTGTCCTCACCTGCTCCCCTGTGTCCAGTGCATACATAAGGCACAATTTACAGTTCTGTTAGAGTCCAGCTCCTAGAATAAGCAAATCACTGATTCTTTCTGCAGTCCAGTGGACAGCAATGGGTACCTCAAAGTATGTCATAAAAAGAGATGGAAATTATTACATGAAAAAGAAATTAAGTATATTCTGGAGATGGTCTTTATTACTGCAAAACCAAGTCATCAGAGGTCCCTAAAACAGATATGTCTGTTTAGATAGCAGAGTTGTAACTCACCTACATTTAGAAGCCGACAAATGGACATCAAAACTCACACTAGGAAAGTAGACAACTGCCAGGTTCACTTTGCAGAGAAACAGAGATCAGTTCAGCAGCTCAAACACACACAGACATTCATTGGTATTTAAGTTGTTCACTTAGACAGCTTGATTTTATCTGAAGGACAGCACATACAATAAGGGCCCTGGCACACTGAGAACAGAATGTTAAAACCAGACCACTGAAGCTACTACTGAAACTTTACCTGTTCATCCTATCACCTTGGGCTGTGAGCATCCCTCACTTGGGCTCATTTTAAAATGACAAGCAGTAGAAATTTCTGCAGTGCTTAAGTCGGAGTGGAAGAAAAGGGTGGAAAGAAGGAAAAGTAACAAGAATGTCAAACCCCTGAACAGCATCCCTCAAGTCTGCTCAGAGATTAATAATTTGAGGTAAAAAGCCACATTACACTATTTAATATAGATTCTTAAGACTTTTAACCTGGGTAGACCTTTATTAAAGCAAATAACTTGTATGTCTTCTAGACATTCTAGAATACTGGAAACTTCAGCTCATCCATCAGTGCCACAAGTAGCTTCAGTAGTTCACAGCCCTGTTTAGAAATATCGACATGTTTCTATTGGAGTTTCTCAGATCATTTTCAGTTGCTATGATTTTAGTGCATAAATTAAAAAAGCCCTTCAGTTTTACTTGTCCTCCATGAAGATACTTGCACACTTTAAGCAAAGAGCCTGTTAAATCTTTCTTCATAACGTAAACAAATTAGGGTCCTTCATTTGCTTGCTCTAAAGTGTCTTTTTCCAGTCAGAAGAGATGCAAAAAAAAAAAAAAATCAAATAGTTTAAACATAACACTCAGAGTTCTTGGAAACAGCCAAACCTGAAACTCAGTGATGATCAACACATTTTATTGTACCTCAGAAACTGAGGGATCTTGGCATCCCATGGGATCAGACCCTTCAATTTCACTTAAGAGCACTCAATGCAAAAATCATTAATGTTCCTGGCCATTCAAAATGTTGATTCTACAAAAAAAACCCAACTTTTTTTTTTTTAAAGCTCAAAAATTGCCAAAGCTTTGCAACATGTAGTTCAAGGACATTATCGAAACTACACTGTGGGCTCTGGGAGAGAGACTGGTCATGGTTTATGGATTTATTACAAGGGGTTTGCAATAAAAGCACACCACTTTGTTTTCACTTCTGGCTGCACTCAATACCTGGATGAAATCAACTGCAAACAAACTTTCTCGCATTGTTTCCAGCCTCAGCTTTTACTTGTTTTGTTAGCACCACCTCATCTCTGCACAATTCAACAGTAATGCTTTATTCACTGACAATCTTGCACTAAACAGCATGAGGATAATACCTTTATCCCCCATTTTATACCTCTATTTGTATTCTATTTGGGATGTAGCAAGGAAGACAAAACACACAGAAGAACCATTTCAGAAGAAAGTGGTTTGGTAGATGTTGGTCATGACACCATTTCATGCAGGAATCAGCACATCCTTGAAGCAGGCCTCCAGAAATGCATTTATGGCTCAGCTAACACTGACTTGGATTCTGCTTGAGGGGCTGGTTCACAAATCCGGGACCCTACTGCAGTGATGGTGATTCGCCTTCACCCAGATTTTCTTTTGCTGCTGACTGCATAAAAGACACATTTAAAGCAAACACATCTGTAAATTTGACTCTGTAAGACAGACACTTCTCCACTAGACAGACAATAGAAAACTACTTTGCACAGGACACTCAAAACTCATGTTATCAATGGCTTTTAGTTGTTAAAAACACCAGGAGTCATTGCAAACAGACATTTGAAAACCTGATGTACCTGCTGCAGGGCCTAAATAATTATTCCCAATTTGGATGTTTCAAAGCCCTTTATTTGTGGTCTTCCAGTTCCTTTTATGAAACTTTACTTGGTTTGGTCTCCAACCCCATGGTTGGAAACTCTACTAGAATACCTGAGAGCCTACGAAATACTGACTTTTTTTTTTTGCCCAACTGCTCTAAGCAAAACACTTCTGTTCACCTTTAAAATCTGGCATCATTTCAACACCCTTGTTTATCTTTGAAACCAACCCTTGAAAAGCCCAGCAACTCAGCTTCAAGCCTGTTTGCAGTAGAGGCTCTGGTAACCAAAATAAAGAAGGCAGAGGCACCAGAGTCCTCTGTATCAACCTGTCATGCAGCCCTAGGGATTTCCTTCCACACAGTTTGAGAAACAGCAAGGT